CAAACTAAGGTAAACAAAGCTCTCCTACGAGAGCTCCCTTATTATTCTTGCGATCTCATATCCTCTCATGGTCAGTTCAATAACGGTCTCGATACTTGTCTTCCCACTAAAAAATATCTTGATCGCTTACCAAGCTTTCACGATCTAGATTTATTCTCTCTAAATAGTCTTTTAGACAAGAAATCTGACGACCTTAGCGCCTATACTCCAACCACTAGGTGTAAATATTACTCTCCACACAGCTTTTCCCAATTAAAAAGTCATTTAAATATGTCTTCCTATTCAAATTCTAGTTTTTCATTCTTTCATACTAACATCCGAAGCTTAAAACGTAATTTGGAAAATTTCCAAACCCATCTATTAGATGAACTTACTTTTCGCTTCAATATTTTAGGTATCACAGAAACTAGAATAAAATCTGCATGTGATAATCTGGGTTTCAATCCTACTATATCCCACTATAACTTTGAACATGTGCCAACACCTCTTTCAGCTGGAGGTGTTGGCTTGTATATTGATGAGAATCTTAAATACACAATTATCGAAAAATGTTCTAATGAGGCTTTTCAGGCCCTTTGGGTTGAGTTACACCTACCCAAACATGCAAATATAATATGCGGAGTTGTTTATAAAAGTGATCACTTTTCCCCAGAGCTTTTTCAGGAATATTTTGATCGAACAATCGAAAAACTCAGCGCCTCTGGCAAGCAGATCTTTTTGATGGGTGATTTTAATATTAATCTCCTTCGCTTTCATGATTGCAAATACGCCCAAAACTTTATCTTATCCTTGCAAAGCTTCAACTTAACCCCGAAAATTGACAAACCAACAAGAGTACATCATAACTCATATTCACTCATTGACAACATCTTTGCTAGCAATCTAGAAGATACCATAACAAGCGGTAATATAATCTCAGATCTAACTGATCACTTTTCTCAATTTTGTATCCTTTAACTCTTCTAATTACCTCTTTAACCTCCAAAGTACAAAAATACTACTCCGTGACTTTTCTAATTATTCAGAGGCAAAATTCTTAAACGAACTGTCTCAACTTGACCTAACTGGCGCAGTCTCAGGACTGAATGATGTAAACAAGTCTTTTTCTGTGTTTTACAATAAACTGAACAAACTTCTCAATAAGCACGCACCTTTTAAGCCAATATCAAAACGTAAGAAAAAGAGATTATTAAAACCCTGGGTAACAAAGGGGATCAGGAAATCGATTAAAATAAAAAATGATCTTTATTGTTCGGGCGACACCGCCGCCTACAAACTCTATCGGAACAAAGTGTTGATGCTCACGCGAATTAGCAAAAAGATGTATTTTCACAAATATTCTGAAGAAAATTTTACCAATACCAAAAAAATGTGGGAGGGCATCAACAGCCTTTTAGGCCGGAAAAACAAAGTTCACAAAGAAATAATCTCTCTTAAATGCCCTAGTAGCAATCTAGTGTCACAAAATCCCTCTGAGTTTTCTGACATAATGAATAAATACTTTTCTTCAATAGGACATAACCTGGCTTCCAAAATGCCAAAATCACCGAAGCAATTTACTGATTATCTACCAAAGTTAGACTTTGCTAGATCATTCTTTTTTAAACCTGTATCTCCTTCTGAAATTGATTCTGAAATAATGACTATTCAACTAAACAAGGCACACGGGCTGTATTCATTTCCCACTCGCATTCTAAGATCGGCTAAACATATTATAAGCCAACCTCTATCTATGCTTATCAATAAATCAATTGAATATGGAACCTATCCATCTAAATTAAAGCTTGCCAAAGTAATTCCAATTTACAAAAGTGGCGATGAATCTGACCCCTCCAATTATAGACCCATATCGCTTCTCTCCATTTTTAACCGTATCTTTGAAAAGATGATGTATAATCGCCTCAAGTCATTTATTGAAAAGTGCAATATTCTCCATGATTCACAATATGGTTTTCGTGAAAAAGGTCTACTGAGCATGCTATTTTAGACATAATTAATGACATTGAAACTAACATGGATAAGAAGTTGTTCTCATGTGGTGTGTTCATTGACTTACAAAAAGCCTTTGACGCAGTAAATCATTCAATATTATTAAGAAAATTAAATCATTATATAGAGTATATATATATAGAGTACGTGGAATAATTAATGATTGGTTTGCATCATACCTAGTGGGTCGTCAACAAACAACACAAATTGTTCCAAAAAACATATCCAAAAAAGAAGTAGTGTTACCAGGTGTCCCACAGGGCTCGGTCTTAGGACCCTTACTATTCCTTATTTATATTAATGATATATCTAACAGCTCTGATAAATTGAAGTTCTACTTATTTGCTGATGATACTAATTTGTTATATGCTGACAAAAATCTCAAATCGCTTGAATCTACAGTTAATGCAGAAATTTTTAGGGTTTATAATTGGCTTATCGCAAATAAATTATCACTAAATATAAAGAAATCTAAGTTTGTCATTTTTAGACCAAGACAAAAAAAGTTAAATCACCAAGTCAACTTGAAAGTGTTTGATGCAAAAATTATCTCAAATATCTAGGTGTGCTTATTGATGAAAATCTTTCTTGGAAATACCATATCGCTCACATCGCTTCAAAAATAAGTAAAACAATTGGCATCATTGCCAGCCTTTGACACTTTGTACCCCTGAATACTTTACACCACATATACATATCTCTTATTCAGCCCTACTTATTGTATGACATAGTCGCTTGGGGCCAAGCTGCTAAAACTTACAAAAACAAAATTCTTATTCTTCAAAAACGCGCCCTCCGCCTCATGTTCTTTGGTGACTACAAATCCCATGCAGTACCTTATTTTGTCTCCTCTAGCTTTCTTCCCTTAGATCTACTGTACTTTAAATCCGTTGCTATTCTAATGCATGATATATCTAACAGCTTAACACCTACTAACATATCTAACTTATTTGCTTCCCAATCTAATATTCATTCATATAATACAAGATCATCTTCAGGAGCTGACTATTATGTTAAACACTCAAGGTTAGACAAACAAACTAAGTCTTTTTCAAGATATGGTGTAAAAAATCTGGAATAGTTTACCGTGTGAAATGCGTCAAATGTCCAAAAATAACTTTAAAATCAATGTCCACGACACTTTACTCCCAATACTTTCAGAAGAAAATCATTATATTGATTTACCCGACTTAATAACAAAAATTCCTGAAAACTCGGCTTCTTATATTTGCAATGTCCATGATTGTAAACTTAATTAAATTGAATTTATTTTTATTTATTTGTTTATTTATTTAACTACTCTCTTTCTCTAGTCTTTCTTGTGATCTATCTGTATATGTATTACATACGTGTAATCACTGCTCGCCTCGACTAGCTAACCTGCTAACTGCGGGCAGTGGATATTGCTTTCTGTAAAATTTGTGATAATTAATAAACAGTTGAAACAGATGAAATATCACGAGTGATATTTACGCCAAATATCACGTTCAAATAATGCTATTATTTGTTTATACTACTACCCGCAAAAGGTTTGTAATTTTCACATGAAGGTATTTCAAATTAAGCTGAAATACCACTGCTCTAAACCAATCAAACTGCAGAAATTTCTAATGTAGTAGCACTAGCTCTGATTTCCATTTAAACTGACTAGGAATAGCAAGGTAACGTTTAGCTGAAGGTTTGTAAGCTTTGTTTTTGTATGATTTTTAAGGCTACATTTACTCCTATCCATTGGCATTATACACTCAACCTTCTGCTCTGCCGACACTTGCGATCAGAGCATCGAACCCCGGGGGGATTACTTGGGTTAACTTTTGCTGGGTATGTGCCGCTGGCCTCTCAGAGCCCCTACCCCATTATAGTCTATTATGTGGCCAAATAGTAGCCTCATCTTAGTCACCTTTGGGAAATGCAATTTCGGCGATTCCAACGTAGCAACTTTCTGTTTTTGCTTCTCCTTTATAAAGCCTTTTAACTACGTCATCGCGAAATCAATTGACACATTGGTTAAACTGAACGAAGTGAAAAATCTTCTCATTGTTAAATCCCTACCTACCTGGATTTTCTGATTCCCCAAATCCCGAAAATGTACGACCCCATTCTAGTAACTCTTATGAAAATGCAACTCCGTTGTAGTCAATCCAGCCGTAAAAATGCGATACAATCCAGCGACAATTCCCGATTACCCCCGATTACTAGGAAGTACCACCCCCCCCCCCCCCCCCGGGGCCCCCAATTCACTGAGAAATAGGGGAAAATCCCGTTTAAAAACACATCGGAAGGTAAACAGTCCACAAAAAATAACCGAGAAATAAAAAAAAATTTTTAGTTGGTGTGTTTTTGATGTGAAGAGAACACGTGTCAACTCACGTANACTCTTATGAAAATGCAACTCCGTTGTAGTCAATCCAGCCGTAAAAATGCGATACAATCCAGCGACAATTCCCGATTACCCCCGATTACTAGGAAGCCCCCCCCCCCCCCCCCCCTCCGGGGCGTCGAATTCACTGAGAAATAGAGGAAATTCCCGTTGAAAATCACTTCGGAAGGTAATCAGTCCACGAAAGCTAACCGAGAACTAAAAAGAATTTTTTAGTGTGTGTGTTTTTTTCTGATTCGTGAAGTAACAGATTCAGTCCCGCGAAAGGTGAACCGAGGACGAAAAAGAAAACGACAGGGGAGGGGGCGAAGTGAGATGGCAGTGACAAAAACCTCCTGCATTCAACTCCTTGAGATTTTTGAAACGCCCCTTCCAGTCTTGCCAGGAAGAGTTTGGTTTACGCGTGATGTGACATTTTTTAAGGTCTAAAGGCGATTGAAAAATATGATCGATATGGTCTCCGAAAAATTTTATCGAAACACCTTAATGTTTTAAGCTGAATAAAATTAATAAGGTTTAAATGACCAGTAAACGAAGTAAGTGCTACTTATTCCGTAATCCTTTGGGCTAGGTTAAAACTGTTGTATAAAGGCGATTGCCTACTGATGGTTGACTGCAGAAGGCCGAGCCATTACATGTTGATAATAGATTTAAAGGCATTTCTCATGTTCTTATTACGTACAAAGTAAATCAGTGGATTCGCAGCGGACGGAATAAACGACATTGTCAAACTCCACGGGAGCAGAATGGAGTGTAGTCGAGGATATCGCTTTTGAACAGTTGACATGGAAAGACCTGGTGACAGAGAGGTGAACAACAAGCCGGCGACAATGCACATGTCAAGTGCAACTCTCTTCTCGCGCTGCAATACTATTGACATCTGGAGCGTAACTGCATCACCTAACTGAGCGTTATGACGACGAATAGCGAGTAGGGCTCTAACATAATTGACAGGAGGGACAATCATAAAAAGCACGGCAACAGAATTCACCAAAATGAAGCTTGGTAGAGGAGGCAAAGTAAATTGAAGTACGATTGTTAACAACAGCCAGATTATGTTTGCGAAGATGGTAACTTTAACTGCTCCTGCAAAACAGGACCGAATAAAATAAGGTTAGTTTAAAGGCAGCCGCGTGTAAACTGATGACAATGCACAAGCAGTGAAATTTTACTAAAAAGGAATTTTTCTTTCACGCCCTCGATCTTACTTCCCATTAGGAAGGTTCACGTCGTAGTCAGCCAATCAATGTTCAAGAAATGTAACAGCATGCGCGTGCCGAGCCGTTCTTTTGCTCGTAAACAAACTATTTTGTGACGATCTTGATGCCGTCCTCGCGGTGCTTACAGACCTAATATAGAAATGGAATATTAAGGACTGGGTCAATTAAGGCACGTAAATTACAAGAAAAAATGAAGGGGGTAGTCTATCTCTGTAAATGTGCAACATATTGATACGAAACTAAGGTAAAAGCTGAAACATGTTGTAAAGGTTAAGTCTAATTGAAAGTTGTCACAATAGGGGTCACGTGACTCATTTAGGTATCGAATTACCATATTTATCTTCAGGCCAGCTGCAGGAGTACGTATTCACACTTATCTTAAAAAAAAATGCGTGAAAAGTGTTTTGCGTATCAGGATGTACACGAAACTAAGTGGAAGGAGTGTCCAGGTCACTTAGTCAATAAAATGTAACGATTTTTTCTGTCACGTGACAGCCGGAAAACATTCATCAAGGGTAGGCATACCACCATTCCAGTTACATTTGGAAAGTACTTCAGATAGGTAAAAACAACACCACAAAAATTCTCAGTAATAGTATTTTTACCCTGCCTCCAGAATCCTTACAGTCAAACCAGGTCAAGCGTTCCTGTCGCTAACGAACTAATGAATTCATTCAAGGAAAAATGATTTCGTTTGTTGATTCAATAATCCATTCATAAAATGAACAATCCAGTATTCATATTTAGCCATTCCACAATCGAATGTTGATTCGATTACTGTTTTTTGAAAAACTACACTTTCCACAAGTTGACCTCAGAATTTTGTTTTTTCTTTTTTGTGAGAGTAGAGTGCCGGCGGGTTCTGAAGTTCAAACCCAAACAAACTGTTACATGTACGCCAGTTTGCCGCCAGTAATCAGTGCAACAGACCTAGGCCTGACCTCTTAGAAAACACATCGGTCAAACTGAGGTCAGTGTATGTGTGGTGATTGGTGGATTTCGATCCTCGGCCTTTGTCAGTTTCTTTGCGTTTGCGGTCTGTCTTTTCTAGCTGTAATTTTGATTAAAGGCAATGAAAAACGCAATCGTAAACGGCAGGAAAAGGGAAGCAAATACGATTGAACGCAACAGACAAGAATAAAGAACAGGTAGATTTTGTTCATAAACCAAATCAACATTTGATTATTGAATCGAGGTACAAGTTGACTGTTGGATTATTCATTTTATGAATGGATTATAGAATCAACAAACGAAATCTTTTTCCATTAATGAATTTATTAGTTTGTCAGCGACGGGAACGNAACATTTGATTATTGAATCGAGGTACAAGTTGACTGTTGGATTATTCATTTTATGAATGGATTATAGAATCAACAAACGAAATCTTTTTCCATTAATGAATTTATTAGTTTGTCAGCGACGGGAACGCTTGACCTGGTTTGACTGTAAAGAAAAAATACAGATGTGAAGCGTTACTTGGTCACGCAACACGTTACCATGGTTATGTCAATTTCAAAAATACTATCTAAACAAAGATAATTAATGGAATGACGAAGTCTGCAAACCTACCACACATTTTCTTTCAAAGATAGACTACCCCTTACATTTTAGAGCAAACAAGTGGTAGACCCAGGCCTTATTACTGAGTAAAGGTATCCAAGGCCTTAAGGCCAAAGGTCGAACTTTTCATAAGACACCAAATTCTAATCTGGGTCGAACAAAATTAAGCTAAGAACATCTATTGGACGTCGAACTTTCACCCGAACGAGGCTAAATATTTATCATTCATTTGTACAAATTTTTAATTTATTAGTTTAGTTCATGGCATTTGAAGATCCACGTTTGTTCCGGAGACGAACTTTTCCTAAACTTAACACCGGTACCGGCAAGAAGTGCGTTTAAGGCAATGAATGTCTCTTGAATCGTATATGAAACCCTTTATCGACTTTGTAACATGAAAAAAGTATCTATTGCTTTGACTTACACGGATGAGCCGAGGTAAACATTGAGATTGAAGAGAAATATAATTAACTTGTTTCCCTGCGTGAAATATACCACACGAAGGAAAATCTTCTACGTGAACAAATTTTTGAAAGTAAACATCAGCAAGCGGTCACTGATTTCATACATTTTGCAGTTGTATCCACTCAGACACTTTTGGCGGGAAACAGTCTATTTCTAGGCCTAGGTGTCATGTGACCTCCAAGTAACCAATGAGAGCGCGCGATCTTGGGTAAAACATTCTAGCTCTTCGATTAAATGCCTTAATCCTGGACTAGTTAGAACTCTATTATACCCTTAGTAACTATAGTTACTTACAGTGAAATTGTCCATATATCTTTTCCTCTGAGAGGCTTTATTTATTAAACGACTCAAGTAAAAGACCCACCTTTTTTAGTGGCGCGAGTTATATACACCAGAGGTCTGTCCAACGCATAGTGGCGATCAAAACTGATAATTATAACGTTGACAAATGATAAACCAACGGTCAGCAATTGTAAAGTGTAATACATATCAAACACCAGAACTTGATGTAGACATGACTGCCGGGCTCTTTGAAGAATAAGTCGCCACACAATAAACATGGGCTGGACGATAACTCCCGTGAGGCAATCTGCAAAGGCCAGGTTACTCAGCAAAATGTTGCACGGCTTTTGTAAGGAGGGGGTCTTGATTACTGTGACAATGATGAACAGGTTACTAAGAAATGCAAATATGGCAAGAGATACGTTGACAGTTACGAGTATCATATCATTGAGGTAGGCGGCTGTGTCGTTCCTATGTATTCCAATCCAGGGTTTTATTCCGCAAATGGCAGCCATTTGTCTTCTGTGGATTAGACAGGCCCCCTTTTTTTAAAAAAAGATCGATAAAAAGCAATTAATGCAAAAAATTAAGTTTCAAAATGTATCTGTAGTGTGTTTATCTAAGAAATAGGAACTCTCTTTATAACCCGATAAAAGATAAAAAGCAGGCTTATTTCTTTTGTAGATTTCTCTTTTTCGTTCTTTAGAGTTGTGTTTGAAGCGAGAAAGAGCTTGATGACTGTTGACAATATTGGATCGCTCATTATTTTAACCGTGTCATGTTTTGAATTGTTGATTTGAGTGTCTCTTTCGTCAAAAGTGTCAAATGACAGTTGGCTCAGGAATTGGAAGTCCTCAAAACTTACCTGCTAGCTGCACGCCTGAAATGTATGCAGACTTATGCAAATGTTATGTTCACACAGCACTCAGTGGACGAAATGTCGACCAAATAGTTATTCCGTTCACGCGGAACGACCTTAACAGAGTCCCAGCTGTTCAGAATTTGAACACCAGAATCGAGGCTAATTTCGTAATAAAAAATTGGCAGCCACTACTTAGGCAATGATTTTGTAAAACTGTTCAGCGTTTTATTAATGGAGTTTCGCTTTCAAAAGTTTTCAGGTTCTGTGAATAATTAAATATTGATCTCGATCGGCTCTTGAAGCTTCACCGAAAATGTGTGTGTGTTTTTTTAATGAAATATATAGCTGTTTACCGCAAAATGATAACCTCAGCAATTTGACATTTTTTGAGGGACCCTTTTTATGCGTCGCAGCCCATCGCGAAACTAAACTTTAAACTTTTAATTCCGGTTGGAAAACAAACAGATAAAAACACAGGGAAGTATCGTGCAACTACTGGAAGGGCCGCAAGCTAAATGTTGTAAGCGTAATATTATCAGATAGCTCAAGACATAACATTTCCAATCGCTTTGTTTAAGAAAGAAACTCAAAGAAAGGTCTTTTCAATTCGATGACTTATAGATAAGCGAGCTTAGCTAATATTCACTGCCTGATTAAATTTTTTTTTTCGCAAATTTGATTTTCTTCGATAATCATGAGATCTACCGACACTGTTATCTAACAGTTTATAAAATATTATTAACGTAAATCTAACGTTCACTGTCAAAAGGCTTTGACCTGCTACACTGCTCCTCAGAATTGCCTTTCTTTAGCACCTAGTAAAGCGAGAAAAGTAAAAATTTATCACTCACCACGGAGTATATAAATTAAATTTGAAGCCTTGACACGATCGATTTTGAATCAAAGAATATTGCTTAGTATGATCACCTGAAACACTGTATCAACATATGAAACACTGTCTGTTTTCGGACATCTTTGATTAAGTACAAACCTCTTGAAAGTGCATTTGGGTCGCTTTATTCATCTAGTGCTTTATTGGTGGTTGATCGATGGTAATTATGTAGTGGATAATGGCCGCCACCCCTTTATTGTACAGTCAGATATTATTTTGAATTTACCATTTATTTTCTTGTATACTAAATAAATGTACTCATATTATAAGTACCTCATCCTTTGAACTTTTAATTTAATACATAGATTTAGCCGATGCTAAAACCGAAGCGTCTATTTATATACTTTTCAATATAATTACTTATGTTAAACCCAAAAAATTAAATCGAATAATCTTTAACCCATGCATAGGAATCCAGAAATGTATACTTACAGAGTAACTTCAACTTCAAATTCAACTTCAACTTTATTTAATAAAAATATTGATTACAATAGACTGGCCCGCAAAATAGCAATTGCTAATCTCGGCGGACCAGTTAAAAGAAAAATAAAGTGAAAGGAAAGGAAAGGAAGGAAACTATTTTAAGTTACAATAAATAATATTTCTATCATAGTTTTATTTTAATTACATTAAATCTACTAAGGAAAGACGACAAAGAATTGACGGAGTGCGAAAAAAAAAACAATGCTTTTGTACAGAAATCACTTAACTGTTATTCGAACTTTTTCATCTGTTAATNTGTAAAACTGTTCAGCGTTTTATTAATGGAGTTTCGCTTTCAAAAGTTTTCAGGTTCTGTGAATAATTAAATATTGATCTCGATCGGCTCTTGAAGCTTCACCGAAAATGTGTGTGTGTTTTTTTAATGAAATATATAGCTGTTTACCGCAAAATGATAACCTCAGCAATTTGACATTTTTTGAGGGACCCTTTTTATGCGTCGCAGCCCATCGCGAAACTAAACTTTAAACTTTTAATTCCGGTTGGAAAACAAACAGATAAAAACACAGGGAAGTATCGTGCAACTACTGGAAGGGCCGCAAGCTAAATGTTGTAAGCGTAATATTATCAGATAGCTCAAGACATAACATTTCCAATCGCTTTGTTTAAGAAAGAAACTCAAAGAAAGGTCTTTTCAATTCGATGACTTATAGATAAGCGAGCTTAGCTAATATTCACTGCCTGATTAAATTTTTTTTTTCGCAAATTTGATTTTCTTCGATAATCATGAGATCTACCGACACTGTTATCTAACAGTTTATAAAATATTATTAACGTAAATCTAACGTTCACTGTCAAAAGGCTTTGACCTGCTACACTGCTCCTCAGAATTGCCTTTCTTTAGCACCTAGTAAAGCGAGAAAAGTAAAAATTTATCACTCACCACGGAGTATATAAATTAAATTTGAAGCCTTGACACGATCGATTTTGAATCAAAGAATATTGCTTAGTATGATCACCTGAAACACTGTATCAACATATGAAACACTGTCTGTTTTCGGACATCTTTGATTAAGTACAAACCTCTTGAAAGTGCATTTGGGTCGCTTTATTCATCTAGTGCTTTATTGGTGGTTGATCGATGGTAATTATGTAGTGGATAATGGCCGCCACCCCTTTATTGTACAGTCAGATATTATTTTGAATTTACCATTTATTTTCTTGTATACTAAATAAATGTACTCATATTATAAGTACCTCATCCTTTGAACTTTTAATTTAATACATAGATTTAGCCGATGCTAAAACCGAAGCGTCTATTTATATACTTTTCAATATAATTACTTATGTTAAACCCAAAAAATTAAATCGAATAATCTTTAACCCATGCATAGGAATCCAGAAATGTATACTTACAGAGTAACTTCAACTTCAAATTCAACTTCAACTTTATTTAATAAAAATATTGATTACAATAGACTGGCCCGCAAAATAGCAATTGCTAATCTCGGCGGACCAGTTAAAAGAAAAATAAAGTGAAAGGAAAGGAAAGGAAGGAAACTATTTTAAGTTACAATAAATAATATTTCTATCATAGTTTTATTTTAATTACATTAAATCTACTAAGGAAAGACGACAAAGAATTGACGGAGTGCGAAAAAAAAAACAATGCTTTTGTACAGAAATCACTTAACTGTTATTCGAACTTTTTCATCTGTTAATGACGTCTCAATATAGTAATCTTCTGGTTTATAAACAAAAAGAGAAAATTATAGATTAAATTCGATCACAGTGATATTCTTGGAAAAAAATAGGCCACTTGCACTAATAGGTCACGTGACTAATGTTTCGTTTAAACAATGAGTTGGAATCTTGCTGATGCCAAAAATTGACAGAACACATAAAATTATCGCACACCCAAAATTTGAGAGGAAATGCATTTAAGGGAGATATTTCATTTGATTTGTCAACAAAATGGTATGATTTGTATTGGGCGCCATGTTGGAGGGCATACTCTTGCCCTCCAACATGGTGGCCAAAACTGCTTTTTGTTTATATCTTGTTAAACGTTTGGTAGTTACGCTAAGATGTGCTGTAAACGTTACCACATCATTTTTTTCACCATTTTTCTTGAAGTTTAAGTGCAAAATTTTTGTTCAAAAAGAGTTAATTCATAATTTTAAAAAATCACATTTTGGTCACGTGACCAGCTACGAACTTACTCATTTTAAGAAAATGGTGCGAGTTTGTTTAAGATATGAACTACTAATCGTTTTTCGAAGGCAAAATGATCTAACTTTCATTTTCATGAAAACCATGTCACATGACCTCTTAGCGCAAATGGCCTGTTCTTAACAGGGCGGATGAAGGTTGGGCGATGAAACGAGCGCTCCGCTCTTCATTTAATGTGCGATGCGGAGTAGGACTGGCACGAGCGCTCTTTCCGCGCTTCCTGTGCGCTTGAAGGCCGGCGAAAATTTCGTTTTTGCAAACCGGAAATCCTATTTTGTTTCTGTAATTTCAGGCTACAGTGTTAAATAGATAAATTTGTTTCATAACAATATCAATAAACAGTTTCATATGTTTGTGTCTGTTTGCCTATAAGTCAAACTTGTTGATCGTATAATGCCA